AATCACTACCATCCTCTTTAAAACAGCCATACTCACATATATAACAAAATATCTCTTATTACACCACTGCATATCATTTAAAGTGTTGACTTCCTTAGCCTACAGATCTCACTTGTCTCACATCAAGTTCTGTTCATAGGGAGCCTTTAGCCTGCCTAGTACATCTGAGAGCCCATTTCCCCTTAGAAAATGAGTGGAAAGCAGGTGCCCATCCTTCCACTAAGCATACTGACAAGTGGAAAATGAGATTTAGGTAATCTCTGGTAAGATGGTGGTGGCTCACTCCATGCCAATGATGGCCCTGCCTGGGCAGAATTCTTCCCAACTCACCCCAAGAGCTTGGTGCTTAAGATTGCACCTGATTCTCAACATCCTGTGAATAAATAAAAGGAACTGTAAGCTGATGTTGTCGTGCAATGTGAAAGCACACAATAGTAATCACAGCTAATGACTCTGCTAAATGCTAGGCTGCACACACCTCCTTGTTTGGTGTTTGTTTTGTATACAGAAGGTAACATCGGCTGAATAACGAGGATGCCAAGTTACAGATGGGGTTGTGGAATCATATTTGACAGCCGATTAGAGTAATCTGACAGAAATGATGACTTAATCACAACGACAGACTCCAAATTCCCAGATAGAATTCCACCCAGGTTAATCTAATTTCCTTGCAATATTTTTGCCAGAAATAGACTCTTAGCTGGCTTGTTTTCTCCCATGCAGATGTCACATGATTTTGACAAGAATGCAAATGGATAGCATTATTGTTGTTGAAAAGATGATGGTGAGGCTCTAAAGCTGGAGAGGATCTATGTCTTCGTGTGGTTTTTTATTTGCTCTATTGTGATTTTTTTTCTCTGATTAAGTTACATTTACATACAGTGACATCTATTCAGGAGGAGTGGAAAAAAAAAAGATAAAAAGTCCTCAGTTGTAGTTGTAGGCCATGGCTTGGTTCAACTGCTATACTGGACATGGCCACTGGGTGGATTTCAAGTTTTCCTTTGATCAGGATTCCATGTTTTACAATTTTTTCTTTCCTTTTCCGATTTTGGTTACCCCGTGAACCACACCAACACACCAGTTTGGGGTGAGCCCAAGCAGGAGTGGTGACATGCATGGCCTTGGGCTTCGCGTGACCTCCATTACTGCACCAGCCTCCCATGGAGCATCTCACTGCTGGTGCTGCATCAAGGCTCTGCCAGGCTTGGCCAAGGCATCTGCCCACTGTGTTGTGAAACAGGGCTGAGGAAAGCTGAGCTGTGCTGTTACTGACTGTTCAACTGCATCCAGTAGAGCTCTCTAACATATTGCCAAGGAGGAATTATTCCTTACAGCCTGTTCTCCAGTTGGGTTGCAATAGCCCTATGCCCAGTGCTTTCTAGGAAAGCTGGCCACTCTCGGAAAGAGCTTGCCTGAGAGCTGTGCTTTTCTCTTCCATTGTAGGGTCTGAGTGCTGGATGATATTAACATCTATTTGCTGCAGTTAGTTTTCTCACTTTTCCCTATTTATTAACTGCAAATATGTATTCTCACATACTGTATTTTTATAAGCAAAGCTTTCTTCAAGCACAGAAATAAACACTTCCTGTTTTGTTGTTTTTTGGGATTTTTTTGTATGAAAACATGATACAGTGAGAAATCACTTACCTTGAGATCCATAAGTGTACAGCTTTGTGATGTATAGCTACAATAACAGCTTTCTGATAAGATGTGAAATCCTTCATTTTAGTAGATGACATGATTCTAGTGGGTGGCATCTAATTTGAAACAGGTTTATATCATCTATAATCTTTTGGAGGGGCTGAGAAAGCACAGCTATTTTATTATTTTATAGCCTACAGTTATACAAGCAAGATATAAAACACACGGATTATTTTCAGTGTTGCTCAATGTAGAGTGATAGTACCCTTTTAGCCTTTGTTTCTGCCCCTTTAATTTTCTTACTCACTGCACACCTTGCAATTCCCTTCCCTTCCCTTCCCTTCCCTTTTCCCTGCCCTGCCCCTTTTCTCCTTTTATCTTCTCTTCTCCTCTTCTTTTTTCTTATTCTCTCTTTTCCTTTTTCTTTTCTCTACACCTACGTTTAAATATTTTACGGGTAGAGTGCTTATAATATGTATTGTCACGGCACTTGTCTCTAGAGGTCAGCAATGAGTTCAATAATGAGATGCGAACCAGTGACTCTGTAAAACCCATTTCAGGTTATAAATGGCATGTTTTATTGAATCTAGTGTTAAAGGTTGTTAATGTATCAATTGGTGATGGTCAGGGTTAAACAAGCTTCAACATGAGCCCTCTCATGTTATCAAACTGTCAGTAACATATTTTTCCACCTTCTTTACTGAAGCCATGTTTGTGTATCACATCCATTTTACCATGGGTATTCTGCGGCTTAAACCCTTCAGGCCTGATCTGAATCTTTTATTAGTTTTGCACTGATAAAATACTGTTAAGCACAGTGGCATTCCTTCTGACATAGGCTTACTGGTGAGACTTTGGACCATGGGTTTTCAGCAGGAACCTCTGAAATCAAGTCAACGCCCAGTTGAAACATCTTGTTAAATCTTACTTCTTTCTTTGCAAACATAACAGCTTACTGATTTAATGAACTTGAAGTAATTATGCAAAACAGAAGAGGATAATTTCTGATGTGGTAACTGTGTTTGCCAGGTAACACTTATCTTTGCATAATAACCATGGTACTGTGGAAATAACCTGTGTACATGAATTTGGTCCAAAGACCTCCAGTTCAGGTGGTTTGAAAAGTGAAGGATTTTTAGCATTGTTAAAATTGCATTTATTCGAAGTATATCTACTTAGGGGCATAAAATGCAGGTATGCAGAGAGATAGATTCTATGTAAGGATTTGGGTAGATTCTTTTTCTATAGCTTTCGTATTCCCAAATTTACAGTGAATTAGGAAGTGATGTTTCTAGTAGTTAATGGAAATTAACCTACATCCTTCTGGGCCTCTAGTATAGGGAGGCATATCTGGCTACCTCATCTTTAATTTATTTGCTGCTCTTAATTGCATCTTCTTACATGCATCTGAACAACTCCATTTTATTTCCTTGATTTCTTCAACTTTATGTGGTTCTGCAGGAACATACGAGCAATGGATGCACTGCAGCAAGTGGCACCTTTTTTCCTTTCAGCTTTTGTTTTCTCAGTGGACATAGTGCATCACATTCCATGAATTTAAGGTCTTCTGCAGTTCTCAGCATATTGCTGATGCCAGGATAAATGTTAAGCACTAGTTAAAGATAGAGTACAATCTAAGTTCCCTTTTTTCTTTAAGTTAGATCAAATAAGACTGGTGGCAGACAAGTGAAGGGCTATTTAAGTCCGTTTGGGAAACAAACGATTCAAGGAGAGCAGAGCTGTTAAAATTGAAGCAAATTTATGCATCCTGGTGACTACATCAACCTTGTGGCTTTGCCTTTTCCTTAGGGAACAATAGGGAGTTTTGCAAGCAGCACAAGGAATACGTTGATTTGTAGGGGCAGAGAGCATTATGGATTTTGAATAAATCTTATGGAGATATTCATAGCAATATTTTATGTTTACTAAAGAATCCAGCAACTATGTCCCTGGAGGTTAAGTGACTCCACCAAAAGCAATGCAGATGTGTTTTTCTGTGGTGCTTTGAAAGTGCATTTGATATGAGAGCATAGATGTTCATGCTCAGCTGTTTTTGTTTTCCAACATCAAGTGTGTCATAATATTCTTTTATAAAAAATATGGAATCGTCACTGACATTTTCAGGCAATGCTCAGCTTTACTGTGCTGAAGGATGTTACAAAAGCAGAAGGAGCATAGATTTTTTTTACATGCTTAGGTGAAATGGAGAAGAGTTTCTGAAGAGTGAAAAGACAGCATTCCCAATACTGCCTTAAGGTTTGTGCAGTCCTGTAGAGCCTGTGGAAGAAAGAGTTGGGTTTTTTCCAAGCCTAACCATCTTCCACGTTGAAACACAATGCAGCATCCATTCTAATGGTATTTGAGAGGCTATAACAAAATTTCCCTGAGTCCATCACACTGGACACATGCAGTATCCAGTAGAAATAGCCCTCTAATCAGAGAGGACTTTGTTGTTGTTGTGTTGATGTCACTGAAAATGCTATTGGAGTCTATGTATAAAAGTCTATTGGAGTTGCCAACAATTGAAGGTGGGGAGAATCATCACTTAGCAATGAGAGCAAAACAAACACCACATGAAGTGTGTGAAGGTAGGATGTCATGTGATGTACAGAACAGCACACTACTCACGGGAATTGATTTCATTTACAGTACGAAGGAGACAAATGGAGGAAAAGATTGAAAAGGAAGAAGTATTAGGATTTTTTATGGTTTTTATTAAGGAAGGTTTTTTATGGAAGCCAGAATGGTACTGTGTTGCAACAGAAGCTTTATGAATGAATGTATAATGTACTCTATCTATAAAAAAAAAAAAAAAAAAAAAAAAAAAAAGATACTAAACATTTATAAGAAGCTATTTTAAGAGATACAAGTCTTCCTCTTCAGTCATGAAAGAATCTGCATGTGTTTGTTTTTAATTACATGCAAAGTTCATTTGTCAAGATAAACTCCTCTGAGTATGTTTGAAACGCTTGCTAGCTCTTCAGTTACTTGGAAATTGCATCTCAGCCTCAGCAATGTTTGAGCTCAAGAAAAGAAATTGGTAAAACAGAAACCAAGTATGCCATAAAGTAATGAGAGTTGTAACTTTAGAGGTCTTCTGAAACTAGATGTAACAAATTAAAGTTTTATATGAGTCCTATGGGCCCAGTGATCTATTTTTTTTAATCTTCCTCGTTATAAAATGCTCCTTTACCATTTTTTTTCTTAAAAGCCTATTATATGGTGTTATTTTGAATTTATACCATTGCAATGTGTTTAATATTGACCATGTATCCTTTTAGCCCGTCATTAAAGCCATTGTTCTTGATTTTTATGACTATCCAACCTGCCTTACTCTTTTTCATTTTTGTTTTTAGATGCATCATCCTATTCAGATGAAACCTGCAGATAGTGAAAAGTCCAATGGTATGTGCTTAATTTATTTCTATGTAATTGTGGATCTCTTTTCACTAAAGAAAACAAAACATCGTGAGAGTTTTTGCTTTACTTCTTGTATGGTGAAAATTATATGAGGCTGTTTCCCTACATCTGATAGATCAGGAAAGATGTTGACCTGCTCTCAACTCCCATTTATCTTCAAATTTAATGAACTACCATGCTACAAACTTCTTTCACTTGTGTTCTGGCGATGAAGTGATCCAAAAGTACCTGATATTGGTGAGATGGATATGAAATTTTAATAGTGAAAAGGAAAAAAATAAAGAAACAAAAACCATTCTAATGTTAATATAATGTAAGCAGCTGATAGACCTTAAACATTTGCTAAACCTACTTTTTATAGAATGATGCTGTTCTGAATCTGAACCAAATTTAGGTTTTAATGATATGCTTAGTTCTGAACTGGGAAACCCACCTTGCATCTCTCTGTATACTTATTCCTCTCAACGATTGTAAAATGAATGCTATAATGACAGTAATATCCATTCAGAATACTAGGTTACTGCCTAAGTGGATGTATATGACATGCAAAATAGACAGCAACTAAATCTATTAAACATGCCAGGTTTGTATTCAAGGAAATAAGATAATCGGATGGTAACGCAGCCTGACTGTGTGTGATTCTTTAAAAATATATACATGTGTATTTTTTGCCCCTTGATTTGTTCCTGTAATTTTCTAAAATGCATGTTAAAGATATCATCTGCCTTCTTAGATTGCAAGAGCTTCTTTTTCCCATAAGGCCCACATAATCAGAGCTGGTTCCTCCAACAGGCATCTTTGCACCTCATTAATTAGTAATCAGGGCAGAAGCCGTGCACTTAGAGATCTACATACCTGCAAATGTAAATTATGATTGGGCTCTAAATCTCTCTGCAAGGCTTTTTTAAGGCTTCTTTTGTGCTAATTGTAGTGCATCCCATTTTCAGACTTCTCCAAGGATTACAAAGTTCGGAAAGAAATTGAAACTTCACACGATGCTAGGTGTCCTATATGACAACTTTCAAAACAAAACTGGACACAAACATGAGAGATTAGAGCCATCATCTGTATGCAAGGGAGTGATGTTCTCACTCTTGACTTGTCCACAAATAGTTTTAGCAGCAATTTCTTTGAATGCTCAGAAAAGAGGCAAAGGCATCTGCGTGGACAGGAGAACCAGACTTTTCAGGCCTTACTCTATCAAGTGAGATGGTTGCTGTTGGAATCAAAATTTCATTCCATGGTATTGATTGCACTTGCATTGGGCAAAATTTTCCTTTAGGGAAAACCAAGGTCTTTATAACTTCTGTGGATTCTTCTTTCAAGAACAGATTTCACCTTATGTACCTTGGCAGATTAGAAATGTAAGAGCCAGTGGGTCAAAGTAAACTCCAAAGGAATTACTAGATCATTCTGCATTTTTCTTCCTGAAGAAGATTGAACATATCAGCAAAGCACTGTGGGGAATTGTGCAAGTCCTGTCCTGCTCTGCAGTCCTTACAAAGCAGGGTAAATTAGCCCCTCGCTACTGCTATTAGACTGAGGTTATCTTCATGATACTCCTGTCTGCACTGTGGGAATATTATTGTCTTGCACCAATTTTTATCTCTAGCATGAAAATCATGAAGGATTGGAATTTTGTTGTTTTTTTTTTTCTTGACTTTCTCCATACTTTAACAAAAACACATCAACAAATCAAAGGCAATCATCACTGTCAAATTAAATACCTTTTTAAATTCATACTCCTGGAGGGCATATATGCTTCTGGTAGGCATTTTCTGGGGGAGATGAACTCTTCTTTTTTATTGCCTGAGGAAACAGAAGGTGAACTAACACCATGATGATGAGAAAAGCAGCAGAGCTTCTCAAAAGGACAGGGCGTAGGAGTAGGATCCATGGAGGAGGTGAGAGTTTGCATGCTTGGAGAATGTGGAGGCCTGTTTGGTATATGTTTGTCATATGCTCCAGGCTATCCATCTGAGATATATTATTTGCCAATAGCAAAGTGATAAGGAGTACAAACCTTCAACAAGATTGGTAAGTTCAAAGGGGAAAAGAACGAAGATATGCCAAGATATCTTGGTTTTCATGATCCATAGTGTTCGAGCTAGGAATACTTGAAACACTTTGATTTCTGCATAATGGAGGATCCCACTACTTGTTATAGGTGAAGGCGTGTTTCTCATGTTTCAAAGCGATTAAATTAATTGTTTTGTCCAAATAACTTTGAGAAAGATATGCGAGAGAGGTTGAATACTTGTTGCAATTCTTCTGAGATCAAACACATTTCTGAAGGGCTAGATAGATCCATTCAACTTCCACAGATGAGAAGAAGGTGGCCATCATTCAGCCTACAGAGGTTTTCAAAGAGAAGAATTTTCTGGGTGATAAGACGCCTCCTGCACATCTTGAATTTCTTGCAAAGATTGTAATGATCATCCAAGGCCAGGAGTGCTATGAGGAAATGTTCCCTCATTCCTCACCGCTGTTCTTGTTTTTATTAGATCAATTTGTTAACCCACACCTTAGCACAAAAGGCCAAGTTTACCTTATGGAAACGGGGAGAAGAATTTAGAACATCTTCTACATGTTTACCAAGTGCCTGGGTTCTTTTGCAGTATTAAGACTTTATTAGCAACCGGAAGATATATTTTCTTCTGGATAGGTTTTCAGTGGCTGACAGATCCATGCAATCATCTCTGTTCCTTCTCTGCATTCAGGAGTGAAGGTGGAGAATGGTAGCTCATGTATCTGAGTCATCTCTGCTCATGCACATGAAGCAAAGCTTAATTGTCCCACTGAGCTTTTAGCAGGTAGAGCTGATGGAGAAAGACTTGCCTTTAGATCTAATTAGTTTGTTTACTCTGGAGGATCCTGAAAAGGCATTCCTTGTTGAGAAAAGTGACATCCCTGAAAAATTTTCAGATGATTGAATTTGTAGTGTGTCCTGTGCTTGTCACCCATTACCTCTAATCCTCCCACCCTTGTGTCTCTTGATCCATCTACAAACTTTCAGTTAAGGAATATCTACCAGAAAAACATGGCTTCAAGATTTCAAAGACTCCACTATTAATAGATTCATTTTAACTGATAATCATTCACAATACTTAGCTGCTTAAGGATATTTTTTATGTTTCAAAAAGGAAGAAATATCTGCACTCTAATGCAGAAAAACACATTACACACATGCTTGGCTCTTAGATGGCCATTATCATGCTACTAGTTAGCAAATGCTTAAATGTTTCTAGGATCAGCATTTGAATGCTGTTAATACTATTGGGAACATATCCTGAGGACAGGGTAGTCTCAAATGGATCAGTGCTTCAACACTTGAGGGAAAATTACAAAATTTATCATTTAAAAAAAAAAAAGAAAGAAAGAAAGAAAGAAAGAAAGAAACGGAAGGCGGAGAGTTAGTTGTGTGATCAGATCATTTATTTTTATTTATTTTATTAGTGGAAACTTGAAGAAATAATTTTGAAATTCTACATGGCACGACGTTGCCGATTTGGAGGGAGTAATTAAATGCCATATGTTAGCACTAACACATAGAAAAGTTGATAATTAATGCAGGCAGCTCCAGATCCAGGTGTGACTTTGACAGATTGTGCACAAGGGTTTTTCACAGGCTTACAAGTAGGGATAAAAAGTCTGTTTTTCCCTCTTCCCTTCTGGATGAAAAAAAAATTTATATAACCATTTGCACATAATTAACTATTTCATGATTTGCTCAAAAGAGACGCAACTTTTGGATGGAAAACATGCTCTTTAACTGACTGAAGCCCTCATAATGTATAATAAGGGGATTGTAGAGTCATAGAATAGAATTATGTAATACCTTGGGTTGGAAGGGACATTAAAGATCATTCCACCCCTCTGTCATGGACAGGTGTGTCTCCCACTGTATGAGGTATATAAATGATTTTTCAGGACAAAATTTTTGGTGTTTAAGATGGAAGAAAAGTTCTTGTAGTCGTAGGAGAGATTTCCTATTATTATTACAGGATTTAATTCTTTTGTACCATGCAGGAAATAAGCCCTGTTCCTTTATTCTCCTGAGCTAGCACAACTGATCTAATATAAGCTGCGAACTGTGAAATCATAGAATCATAGAATCCTTAGTTGGAAGGGATTTTTAAAGGTCATCTGGTCCAACTTCTTGGCAGTGAACAGGGACACCACAGCTAGATCAGGTTGCCCAGGGCCTGATCCAGCCTCGCCTTGAAAGTCTCCAGCACAGGGTATCTACCACACCTCTGAGCAACCTGTTCCAGTGTCTCACCACCCTCAATGCAGAAGACTTTTTCCTTATATTCAACCTAAATCTACCCTCTTTTAGCCTGAAGCCTCTTGTTATGTTACCACAGACTCTGCTAAAGAGTCTGTCCCTTTCTTTCCTGTAGCTCCTCTTTAGATCCTGAAAGGCTACTCTCAGGTCATCTCGCAGCCTTCTCTTCTCCAGGCTGAACAGCCCCAGTTCTTCTACCCTCATATGAGAGATGTTCCATCCTTTGGGTCATTTTTGTGGCCCTCTTCTGGATGCACTCCAACAGGTCCATGTCTCTCCTGTACTGAGGACTCCCCATCTGGACGCAGTACTCCAGCTGAGGCCTCACCAGCACAGAGCAGAGGGGCAGGATCACCTCCCTCACCTTGCTGGCCACGCTTCTTTTGATGCAGCCCAGGATACAGTCGGCTTTCTGGGCTGTGAGGAAACATTGCTGGCTCATATCCAGCTTCCCATCCACCATTATCTCCAGGTTCAGCAGAGCTGTGCTCAATCCTGTCATTCCCCAGCTTGTATTGGTAGTGAGGGTTGCCTTGACCCAGGTGCAAGATCTCACATTTGGATTTGTTGAACTACATGAGGTTCATCTGGACCCAGTGCTCAAGCTTGTCCAGGTTTCTCTGAATGGCATCTCGTTCCTCTGGCATATTGACTGCTCCCCACAGCTTCGTGTCATCAGCAAACTTGACCCCACTGTCAATGTCACTGATGAAGATATTGAAGAATATCAGTCCCAGCTCTGACCTCTGTGGGACACCACTCATCACTGATTTCCATCCAGACACTGAACATTGAAATGGGGAGAGTGTTCTCATGCAAGATACTCATTAATGGAGCAAACTGAGTAAAGCTGCCATTATTCTGCAAGTTGAATGTAGTGCTGTTGGAAGGCAGGAGGTTCTGGTTTGAAAGTAGCCCCATGAGCAGAAGCAGACTTTATTTCTTCCAGCTTCTGATGGCTACCATAGCTCTCTTCAAGCATATTAGCAAGAAACCTTTGCTAGTCACCGCAGAGCTAGTCTTAATGGAGTTAAGAAAGCAACTCCTCTAGTTTTAAAAAAGATATCTGCCATTTGTCACACAGGATTTCTTCATTCAGAATCTCACCACAAGCCTGCAGAAGAATCCCACCCCAGATACAGCACTGCTTATGTCTCACTAACTGCTCAGGTAGAATAGCTGACCTGCATTCGTTGTGTGTCTGGATGGTTCAGAGGTGAATCCCATAATTATTTGCTCAGAATGCTCTGCAGTTTCACACCTTCGTGTAACTGGAACGTCAGGCCTTGCTCACTGTCACCTTCTTACTGTTTTTTCTCCATCAGTGCGGAGCACTCAGCCATCTCATCCTACTCTCAGCTTTTGGCCAGTGGGATCTACTTTACATTACAACAATGTTGTGAAACAGCCAGAAGGTACAAACAGAACTCTGAGAAGAGTGAAAAAAATGGCGATGTAAAAAAAAATGCTTACCAAAAAAATTTGCATTTATTTTCAAGATTTTGAATTATTGAAGCCATTCATTGTGTAGGAGTATTTCTTCCTTCTCTGAGGCCTGAGCTGAGGATGTGTATGTTAGGGTCAAGAGTCAGCTGAAAGGTTATAGCCCATCTGTTGTCTGTGGTAAGGGGTAGGCTCCAATGAAACAAGTCATCGTGCCTCACTGTGAGAGGAGATTTTGGAGGAGCTGATCTCTTGACACTGGTATCAATAGATCACATTTTAGCTGAGACAGAACTGGAAATTTTAGGTGAGTAAAGATAGGGAAAATAGCTTCAGAAACTGCTGTCTCTTCTCTAGCCAGCAGTGGGTAGCACATTTCTGATCTCCATGCTTTGGTGTTTTGCATGGACCTGATGTTGAGCTCATTGTACAGTCTGTGGGTGCAATACAATGTGTCCAGGCAAGGGAATATACTCAGAATACATTTGACCCATTCTTCTTATGATCCTTTTTCTGTTTCATTCTCACACCACACCTGCAATATAGGGAAGTATTCCTTTTAGGAGGAAAGGAGAGAAGTGGCTGACCAAGGATGCAGAAACAAATCCTGACAGCCAATCATGTGCAGGTAAAAAAGCATTCCTTTCTCCATGTGAGAATATATAGTTTAAAACTATGTCAGCCTAATAATATCAGATGTTCTATGAGGTGGAGTGAAAGCATGTCATTTTGATACTGACAATTGTCCCTTTTAAATGTTTTTTATGCTGGGCCCCTGGCCAAAACTGAATAGCAATTTTCTTAAGCTTCAGTGCTAATCAACACTGACTAATAGCACCAAATGCAGGGCACGTTATCATATCAATATGTTTTCTGTACTCTGAGCATTCTTTCTGAAATCTGCATTTTAGAGATGTACAGTACACGGGAGCTGGATGTTTAATTTACTGTAAAATCACCCTGAAGCTGAAAACCTGCAAATTGTCTTAGTTCAACAGCGTACTTATGGGTTTACTAGCAATACTGAAGGAGGCTGGAGGGGAGTTAGTTGTCTGTTACTCTTTGAAAAATTAAAACAAAGCCTTCCCATTTGCTTTGGAGGGGTAGAGAGAAGAGAAGCTCCTTTGCATCCTGACAGCTTCTACTTGTAAGGCAGGGAGAAAAATCTCTTCTTAATTTTATGTCTCTGTGAATTTCTTTGATTTGATTCTTTGTCCTAGCACCCAAGCAGGACCATCAGCTCCTTACTTTGTGACCACATTGCTGACATTTGTCCAGCTCTGCTAGAATATACTTTTAAGAGAATGCTGGGATTCAGTCACTCTTTGAGTAGACCTGCATTGGACTTCAAGTCTAAAATCAACTCATATTTTAACTTTGTGGGTACTAAAAGACACACAGGCAGAAATTAAGAGTCCCAAAAGGCAGAACAGAAGGCAGTGCTTATGCTTAGACTTCCCCAGACCTGACCTCAGTTGGTGGTATGAGACATCATTACAATTCAATTCAGACAAGGCTGTCCAGGCTGTCCGGGGACCTTCCTTAAAGAGATTAGTCAAGTGCATATAGGAATTTTAAGCAGCCAATTTATAAGCATCTTCTCACTAGCAAAGTACCAAGACTCTCCCTATGGCTGCAAGCAAACCAATTCAGTTCCACCATCCTCAACATAATTATCTGCACTATCAATAGTAATTATGTATTATGAATCAAGTGTAAAGTTTCACTGAAAGACATACACATATCTGGATCCCAGCCTGCATATCTTCTTTGCACCCCCATGATTCAGCTGCTGGTCTGTGTGTACTTGGTTCATCTGTGCATTCATCATTTGTTAGCTCTTCCTGAAAGGTTAACCTGACAGTGGAACCCCAAAGTAAAGTCTGAATGAAAATGTTCAGAGTTGAGGAATCTGCTGAGAAAAAACTTCTCCTGGGTACTAAATTCACACCAACTTTCTTGCAAGTTTCTTGAGTGAGAGGGACTGGTCTTCTGGATTCTGAAAAATGCATGATCTCAATGCTTGCTTGTATAAAAGCTACAAGTGCTTTTTTAAATTCAGCAATTCTAAGGAAAAATTACTTCAAATACCTCTCTTGTGATCAATAAACATGAACCTCTTCTTTTTATTGTTATTAAATGCACTTAAAGTGTTGAAGTATAACACGAATAAAATCCTATGAAAATAGATGCAGTTTCTTCTTCCTCAGCTGCAATTTCTTCCATTTGACAAACTCATATTAATACAAGGAGAATGGGTTGGGGAACAAGGGAAGATTTTTTTTTTTTTTGGTAGGCCCAGAAATGAAAATACTTCGTTACAAAAATAATTTGCACAATAATAGAAATAAGTAAGTGCACTGCAGACTCTCTGGAGTAAAGCTTTCCTTCTTTCTTTGCATCCCTGCAAACTCTGACAGTCTGTTCATTAACGGTGAATTGGATTTACATGCCATTTCAAGAGAAGAAGAAAGCAATGGTGTATATGCTGTATAATAAGCACTTAGATTTGGGGTTTAATACAGATGGGATGGTGTGTTAACATTTTAAGTCTTTCCAGGGTGCATTAAATTTTGATGACCTATTTCACTTTTGACGACAGTCTGCAGCTTTAGACCTGTAAATTTAGGTTTGATTAACAGGACCAGCGACTCCTGCCACTGCAGTTTAGCTTATGCTGGTTTGGGTGACAGTACATACAGAAAATATTCTACCAATAATTCAGGTAAAGCACCTTTTTCATGTGTTTTTTTTTCTTGCAAACTCAGCATCATTACAGATCAAGGAGTTTGCTTCTTGGAAAGCACTGTGCAGTCCCCTTGATGAGGTGCTGTCCTAGAATATGCCTTGTCCCCTTGGAGGGGAGAGAACTGTGTCACTCTGAAGAAAGAAGGAAAATTTAATGCATTCCTTTTCCAGAGCAGTGGTTACACACCTGCCTTTTGAGTGCCAAGCAGTAAGTTGGATGAAATTGAAAGCAAAGATAGGAGCCTCTCTCTCAAAACATTTCTCAGGAATATTTTTCATTAGCTTGTGTCATTACGTGCACAATCCCCTCTTTACCCTCACCCCTGTCGTGATTTCTTTCATACATGAGGGAGGTGAGGGAATTTATCTGAATTAAAATCTATGCAAAGATATTTTTACTCTTTCTAACAGAGGATGCTTTTCTCTTAGAAGCAGTGGTGAGGAGACATATGCAGAAGGACTAAGGCAGCCAATTAATCTGTTATATAAACAGCAACCACCACTAAAAAAGGCAGAGAGATAAAGAAAAATGAGATATTTTGGGTGAGGGTGGGAGGGGGGGAAGGGAGGTTGTAAGTATAAAGTGTTTGCCTTAGGACTTGTCTTCAGTTACAGAGCCAGACTCACATGACTGGAGCTCGGTTTGATGTGGTAATGAAGCATTGATCACAGGAAAAAGATGAAATGGCCTTTGCTCATTCATTATTTTTATCTTCTAGCTGTGGAAGACAGAAAATTGTTCATAGGAATGGTTTCGAAGAAGTGTAATGAGAATGATATCAGGGTGATGTTTTCTCCGTTCGGCCAGATAGAAGAATGCAGAATCCTTCGGGGACCTGATGGGCTGAGCAGAGGTGAGTGTGCAGTCTGTAAAGTCTCTTTCCTTAAGTGCTAATTGGAAGCTCTGTGTCACAGTCAGGGTAGGCACAGCTGCTGTCTGCAGCTAGAGGTTACGCCATAATACGTCCCACGTGATGAAGGTATCCGCATGAACTTTTCACAGCGACTGAAATTATCACCTTTTATTTCCAGTGTCAGAAAGGTCTTGGTGCCAACATATTAACTTGTGTTATCGCACTGTTTGTCAGCTGGAAAGGTTCCTTTGCACCCTGAGAAAGCACCCTCCGTCTTCTGCTCTCACAGAATCAAAGATCCTTCCCTGACCCCATTTCTTCTTTGTACCATAAGGCCACAAAAAAAAAAAAGGACTGTAAATGACTGGTTGAAGACTTATAGGGTCATGGGAACTGGCCTACACTGTAGCACTATCTCCTCAATTCCTGTGTTTTTTATAACACGATGCAAAACATAGGTCTGTTGAAACTCAGAAACAAAGAGGTGAGCTTGAACCTGAGAGCTTTATCTAGACTAAAGTTTGTTAAAAGAACTTGTAATGCTTGTGCCCCTATCACAAAGCGAAAAACAGGGGAATGGTGTTACACAGCATCACTGAGAGTGGTCAGGCAGCTGACCTGAACCTTGGAAATGGAGTGCACAGGCTTTGATAGGTGGTGCCCACTTCTGAGTGCAGAAATGCCTTTTGGAAAGGCTCTCTGAAAACATATCAAAAAGAAAAATAAATGTATATTGATGTTGCAGAATGCATATTAAATCTATGGTATGTGGACCTGAAATTATTCTCAGGCTGTAAACCTTTCCTCAAACTCAGCTCTGTGTGGTACAGAGTGGAATAGGGCATAGACTCATCTTCAGTGGGAAAAGCAGCTGAGGCATGAGCTGCTGTCATGTGATGGCACAGGGAGTCAAGTAATTTCAAGTGCAGAGCTGTGAGGAACATCACCACTTCTGTTTCTGTAGAAATAAATAAAAGAAACATAGAAAGCACAGTTTATGCATTTTATTACATTTTCAAAAGTCACAGAAAAAAATAACTGGATCAATCTTGCATGGAAATGTAGATATATATGTGCGGGTTTTTTTTCCTTCTGGATTTGCTTGTTTCCTGCAGGCTCTAGAATCCTCAGTACCTCATGCAACAATTTGTGCCTAGGTTTGAAAAGCAGAGGGTTTTGTGTGCAGCCCAGCTCGTTTAAAAAGTCTATACATTTCAGCAGGGGAAGCTGCATGGATTACTGTATATTTCACAGCACTGCGTGAAAACATAACATTTCTGAAGGGCCTGTTGAAAAGATATTCTGACAATAAATAGGTAGCCTCAAGAAAATTCCATATTTGCATTTGTACTCGATTAGACTGCAACCCCAAAATTTTTGGGGCTGCCATACAGCAGTCCTTTCAGGCAAGAGTAGCATCAGGATCATGGCTTTAGCCTTGGGGAAGACCAGAATAAAGGTCTGAGGTTGGTTCCTGTGGCTCAGTAGTAAATATTAACTGATAGAGTCAAGCACTTGCAATTATCTACTAGACCACTAGACCCCACACTGAGGGAAAACAAATAGTTCTGATTTTTAGTTATTTCACTTTGTAACTAGCACAGAGAAAGGATGATGGAAGGCACTACTGGGAAAGGTGCTAAGTAAGTGCTAAAATAGCAAGATCTGGGCATGAGATGTCTTGAGTCACAAAAGAATTAACTGACTCTTTGGAATCACCCACTAAAGAAATGGGATCTGCTGAAAGTTCACTGCATTTTTTTTTTTTTCATTCAATAGGCATTGGATATACTACAAGCATAGAAAAGATAATTATGAAATTGAACAGTGTAATGGTGATCGTGTAGTTTTATTCTACCATGAACAGCACTATCACAAGAATCAGAAGCTGAGATTTTAAGCCATGTCACCAGTGTACCAGGCAGAGCAGTGTTGTCTGCCAGCCAGCATAGCCGTAGAGTTAATATGCTGCTCCCTCCTGCTGGAGGGTGAAGATCTTAGTGCAGGTAGGTCACACACCAGTAGTCTCAGCAGAGCTGTATCCTCCCTGCCACTCGGATTTATTTCGGTCACCATCACGATTGATATTCTGTCATGCCCTCATGCATCATGGCTTGTTAAACTCGAATTGCTTTCTACACACCCATGTTCACACTTGAAAATGAGTTCAGCTGTGCCAACCAGGTTTTCAGGCAGATGTTTATCAGCTTCACAAAACCACCATGCCATGAGAGAAGGCAAAGTGTTGGTATTGCAAAGCTGAAATGAAAAGTGCTAAGGGAGATCTGCAGTGGAGGGAGCTTGGCTGAAAAAGCCCAGGGTGAAAAGCTGCTTCACTAAAGCAAGAAGGAGAATTATACAGTTAAATCTTTGTAATGAGTTCTGATACTTAATGAGTTTTAATTCATGTTACCATTTTCAAGATGTTAGTTCCCTCTGCCACAAACAATGTTTGTTCTCCCAGCACCAGTCCGGATGTGTTTCCCTCCCAGACACAGGGGGATGAATGAGAAATAGTCACTGTCTTAGGAAAACACTGTCCTTATGATGCCAGAGCCTTCGGGAACGCACAGTGCTCACAGCAGCGAGATGGAAATATGGTCCAATAAACTCTGTTTGGCATCTCTTTTCAGTTGCATAACGAATGTACATCATGGTATCTTGGAAGAAAACAGCTTGAGGAGTATACTCATTGGTATCTATGCCAACTTGTGAGCTTTGTTGAAGGATTCAGGCAAATAATCTTGATTACCAGCAGATAGTTGCAAGGAATGGCATGAGGTTACAATGTTCAATGGAACAGTTTTGGTTTGTGCTGCAAATTTTTGTTGTGGTTGTCTTTTTTTTCACCATAAAGAGTAAAGAACATTCAGATGACTTTTTGGTCATGCCTGTGCTACAACAGCAATCATACCACTAGCATGATAGAAGTGTGCAGTAAACTCATAGGTGGGATGTAGGATCTTAGAGAACCACATGGTTCCAGTAGCAAGAAGAAATCCCTTCCTGCAGCAGCAAGGGGAAATGTAACACTCATGATGAGTGTTAAATAAGTAATAAGATAAAGTGAGGGATCAAACTGGTTATTCCTGTTGTAGTTTATAGCCAAGAGCTGACAGAACTTTAATAAAGTCATACCCATTGCTGTCCCTACTGATAATGGACCATCAGCATTTCATCCCCAAATTCCTATTGTCAAGTATTTGAAACTCATCTGTAAAATGAGAGTAAAATAATGATACAGAGCTCCAGTGGTGGAGCAGTGTTTTTTAAAGAAACAGATTTTTTTTCCCTATGTCTTTTTTTTTTTTTCCCAGTGTTTGGAGGTTTTTTTGCCCCTCCATCTAAGAAATAATCATTTGTAACTTCTTATATTCTTACCAGATACAAGAAGTAGGCAGCAACCAAGAGGCATTTCCTTCCAAAAACTGTAAGATAGTCCCTGTGGAATTAGTTGGCTGGCAAGGAGTAATTCCTAGCTGAGAAAAGTATTAAAAATAAAAATAAAAATAAAAATAAAATTAAAGCCCCGTTGGCTGTAGCGATAAAGAAGCTGGGGACTGAACAGCCATGCAGGCTGGCCTTTGCTTTAGCAGGGTTCACGGGACTATCTAAAGAAGCTTGCAGCTGCCTGTGCTGTATTCATTATTCAAAGAGAAGGATTCAGCCTGCAGGGTTGTTTAATCCAGCACTTTTTCTGAAGAGCTAAGTATGCTTTACCAAAATTCATGATTGTGATATCATGTGCTAAGCTTCATTATCATGAAAAAGCAGGAGTGAACTGCCTCAGATGATTAAGATTTTAAATCACTTATTGTAAAAGGCTTAAGGAAACTTTCAGACCTCCTGACTTTGAGCACATGGCTACATGACCACAGATGCCAACACAGACAGCATTCAGTGATAGCTGGACTGTGCAAAAGTAGCTAGAAATTCCTCAGGTTGATTTGTAGCTGTGCTACTGATGTGTAATATGACCATAGGTTGATTTCTCATCATCTATTTTTCTGTTCCTTAAAATAAGTATAGCAGTGCTCCTCAAGCTTTATAATTTCATGTATATATATATATATTTAGATAAGTGGATCGATATCTCTGTATCACTCTAGGAATTATTATTACCATCCATAATGATGATAAAAAAAATATATATATTCCTCTGATCCTCATCACAGGAGCACTGCACAGCAAATTATTCGGTTGTATTGCTAAGTGCAGATTTGTATAACAGATAGCAGAAACAAGTCAACTGGGTTAATAGTGTGCTCTCGGGAAAATCTGCTAATAACATGTGCAGACAATTGGATATACCATGAACACTGTGGAAATGCCCCCAAATATACATTCCTATACCTCCCAGGTTCCCAATTGTATGATTTTTTAACAAAATCTCACCAGGCACACGGAACAAGTAAATGTTTCTGGACACATTGATTGCAGGGAATTGTTTTTCTTTGTTTGCTTTGAGAGCAGGATGACATGGAGAATTATACCATGGTCAGGCAATTTATTGTCACAAAAATCCATTTATAACTTTCAGATTTAGGGATTTACTTAATGAATGAATAAAAGAAAATTAGTGTTTGCATCATAACTAGCTGCACTGAAGGACAGATGAGGAAGTTTCACGCCTGTTTGTTTTTCCTTATGGGTATTTACTGCTGCTTTGTGAGCTGAAGTAATGTGAAGTGCCACCATGGGTGCAGCCTGGGTTAGGGAGCACCTTTTGACTTCTGTATCAGTAAGTAATGGGAAAAGAGCACTGTGGAAGTGCTGCATTTTTTACTTCTCTGTATTTTACTTCCTCAGTAAGTAAGGCACCTCTGTGCCTTATTTATTTTGCTGTAATGTGGTAACATTTTTCTTTTTCCACTCATTATGTCACATTTAATTTTCTTCCTCCAGTGAAACTTTTCCAAAGCTGGGAAGGAGCAAACACATCCTGTTGACCAGTGTCTGTTGGCCTGTGGCCAGTAGTCCTCAGTCTCAGATTTCCATTC